GTAAAAATCTCAGACCTGGACATTAACTGTGATAATTTTAAAAATTCATGCAAGATTCTGCAGTTATCGAATTTAAATCAGAACAGGATTAAAATGAACTCCAAAAATTTTCATCTTTTAACAGCAAGAATATCCACTCAAAATAGGCATCTCAGTAAAATTTCAGAATTTTTCATGAAGTAACCAATTTATAAAAATTCAAACAACGCTTCAGCAGATTCGATAAATAAATTATTAGCCACATCAAATCAAGTCCAAAAATTCTAAAAATTAAACACAACATATAAAAGTCACAGAGGCATGACATACTCGAATTCCAGCTCATTTCAATCACGAATGAATGTTTTATGCATTATATACTATTCTGCCCAGATTTACATTTTAATTATTAAAAATAGCTACAGGACTCTAAAAATTACGAAATTTTTACACAAGGCTGGCCATGAACAGATAACATATCCCTCAAATTTTCAAGTCATTCCGATCAGTGTGCGATTTTTAAAAATTCAAACACCAAAACAGCGATTCAAATGCTCGACAACTTAGGAATTAATTCACAACATAAAATTTCTCGTCCGAGGCCTTTTCATAAGACCAAGGGCTCGACAATGTTCCAATATCCACCGACTTACACGAATTTCAAGGTCTCGTTCGATTCTTTAGAAAATCGAAGAGCTCTCGAACATATGATAACACATAAAATCATATTTCTTACGTAAAATCATAACGAACACATTAACGCACAATATTTACGTCACGCAAATCACACATATTCATAAATAACATAATCAATTTAAACGAGACGGGATCGAGCCTTTGTACCGTTCTCGAGAATCAAACGAAAACGGACGAACGTAAGGTTGACAGGCTCGACGGATTCTCGCGTCTCGCCGGAAGGAGAAGCTACTGCAGCGGCTTCGAGAGTGGCTGTTCGCGGTGGCCTGAACGCGTGATGGGTGGAGCAGCGGTGGTTGGGAGTCGCTGGGCTGCTGCAAATAGAAGGTCGCCGGAAAAATCTCACGTACAGCGGAAGGTCCTCGTCGTCTGGGCTCGTGGGCTGCTCGAACTCGCCGGAAAACTCAAACAAAGGGTCGCCGGAGGGCTGGTCGCGGGCTGCTGGTTTTCGCGGGGAGGAGATGGCGATGAGGATGATGATGGATGAGCGATGATGATGGTGAAGGCGAGAGGAATTTGATGATGACGACAGGAAAAAGAAAAACGAGAAACAGGGTCCAGGGTTGATCGTGAAGGAGCAGAGCGAGAGATTGAGATCGTGAAGGAGAAAATAAAAGGCTGCGATGTGGATGAGCGAACTGAGCGAGAGCAAATACACGCTAGGTTAAAAGAAATCTCATGACATCACACGCGTAAAAGAGAGATGGGCCGGGTCATGCTAAATGGGCCAAGGGTTCAAAAGGTTTAAGTCGTAGGTTCGATACAATGCATACAGTTCTCTCGGGCTCGATAAATCGATTTATTTAGCCAGAATAAAATGGCTCGGTTCGCACGATAAAATAAAATAAAAATTTTGGCTATTATAATAAAATATATTTCACACATTATTAATTAAATAATAATACACATTTTAGCATTTAACAGACAATTAGGCATTTAAATAAAATTTTAATAACAATAATAAAATAAAAATAATAATAATAATGACATTAATATTAATTAAAACCCCAAATGTTCCATAAACGAACGGGGCGCTACAAGTCGACTGCTGGGAGTCGACTTAGAGTATCTGGATGCTCGGAAGTTACGCTCTTGTTGCTCTTCTTATATTGCTGTCGACTAATGGAAGTCGACAGGCTGAGGTCGACTTGTGAGAGTCGACCGGATAAATTTCTGTCCTTTCTTGGTCGCTCTTTGTAGAGTCGACTTTATGGAAGTCAATTGGAGAATGTCGACAGAGTCATATCGACATGCTAGTGGTTCGAGCGGTTCACCGGTCGAGTAAGGAGCCTCTGGACCGGATTATCCTTATGTGGCTATATCAAATATATCCTGCAAATAGTAACATGTCGGAAAAATTGTTCCCTCCTTATGGCACAAGAGTGATTGCATCAACATAAAGTTTAAACAAGATCGAGAGAGATCTATGTCACCGGATAATGTACAATTCTCAAGTAAATATGTATGTCTTTATTTTTAAGTGCATTCTCTTGAATTTAAATGTTGATATTTTTTTTTAAAATAAAACAATTTTAATAAAATTAAAAATTGTTGGAAATTATTGTTAGGGAGGACGTGGTGTTTCTAATGGTCAAATAGAAGTCCAGAAGCGTGAATTGATGACATTGCGGCCATCGAAGTATATATGCAGCTCAATAATAGACGTTTGGAGCATAGTGTTGAACCATATAGAATCAGAACGCTCACCAAACTCACCACTCAGATTCTTCGCTTCAACAAAAACATGCGTAAGTGACACAGTAGAAGATAACAATCATTTACAAAGACGAAAAAAACAACCATCATTCTTATGTAATAGGAAGTTTTCATTGTTAGCCCCCAAGTCAGTTGGTCATCTCAAAGAAGGTGCGGACAATTTCTTGAATGTTTGGAAGAGCAGATTTCAAAAGCAAGAATACCTTTGTCAAGCATCCACATGGTGAATAGTGAATAGTATATAAAAAAAATTACGTTATAAAAATATTATCACAATTTAAATTTAATTTTAAAATGTATTTGTCACAGTTCTTTTTCCCTATTCATCACGCCGAACATTTCTCCCTTATGTGTTTTGACATTAAAAAAGTATATGTAAGCCACTTTGACAGCTCCACTGCAGCATTGGACAATTCACTTGATGTCAAATACAATGACATTCCAATGGCACTGGTAAGAATAATTTATATAAATGAACAATATTTTGATACATACTTGAAATTAACTAACAGAATATGCATTTATTTTAAAATGCAGGGCATAATGTTATCTCAATATTTGGACCATTGTGGCTTAATAGAGAAAGCCGTAGCAATAAGAAATATGAAAGTTGAAAGGATTAAGATGTCATGGGGAGAAGAAATGCACAAGAAAGACACCGGGATATGTATGATGCGACTCATGGAAACACATATAAGCAATGCGGTAGAAAACTGGAGGCTTGGTATAAAACTAAACTGCCAAACACAGTTGAAGTTTCTGAGAGGAAACTATTGTGCTCCCATCCTAGCAGCTGAAAATAATATGCTCAATCATTTGTGCATGTCTGTTGCAGACATGCACTACCAATTGTCATTTGAGGATAGTTCAGTCGATATAGTTCCGCCTTGGATAAATGAAATCATTGTAGAATATGAAGAATAGTCGTTTGATGTTGTTGGTTTTAAACAATGGATGCTAGTTATGGTTGTGATAATATAATATATTTGTTGTGTTTTTGTATGAAATTATAAACTTTAATAAAAGAGGTGATTATGCTATGGACCATGTGAAATTATTATCTTTATCATATCACATTTGTTTTCATGCTCTCACATATAATTCTACTGTTGTATAAGATGTAAACTAGGAACAATTTTTATTTTTATTTTTTATTTTATTTTAATATGCCCTGAAGATGTTGAAAGCAAAAGTTAGAAATAGATTAATGCTGCACACATATTTATAAAATATGGATAATTGATTTTTAAATATTCTCAATAAAAGTCTGAAAAAAATCCTTAATAGTATGAACAAAATTTTAGAAAATAAATATTAAAAAATGCATTAAAAAGTCTGAAAAAATCCATAATTGTAAAGAAAATGAAGCGACAGTTTACTATGTAAAATAAATTATAGCCACAATGTAGATAACCATGGTTATATTAAGATGCTAAAAAATGAGAAATAAAAAGGGTCATTAGAAACAGACAAGATGATACAACATAGTATTCCTCATAAAAGACAGAAGGAAAAAAATATATGATTTCACACAATTTCTTGCATCATGATTCGTTTTCTGACGACACTTACTACATCTTCTCAAAGGCTTATTGCTTTTTTCAATTGCCTTTTCTTTCCTTGATTTCAATCGACTACCACTCCCTTTCATTTTAACAGGAAACGGTGGCAATACCTGTACTTTTTGTGGAATAGAGCCTCCATAGTAATCCTCAAACAACTTTTTCTTGGACGTAGTTGCTGAAGGTTGGTCCAAACCAGAGGTAAAGATATGTCTCTGATTCTTAAGAGAATGTAGCAAACTTGTCATGAAATCATTATTTCCTTCAACTAACCCAATACAAGAATAGAACTCCGAGAACAATTGATTCATAATTGACTTCCGCTCTTCAATCATAGCACACTGATCAATAATCTGACCATGAACCTCAAATATAGGCTTCAATGATGCATATTTTGTCCACCTAGGAACCAAATATTTTTCTGGGATTGATTGGAGATTCAAATCTTTAAACATATAGAAAACATGGCAGCATAGTAATCCAACTCTCACAAATTTCTTGCAACTACAAGTTGCTGTGTTTTGTGATTTGTCATAAACAACTTCACATGCACCATAAGTGACATCTTCGATTTCATAGAAACGATGATCAGGATCATCTACAAGAGTCAATATTCTGCATTCAAAGCATGCAGCTACAATATCATTCTGTATCTCCTAAAAAATCTTCAAAGTATACACATTAGAAGCATGCCTCTCAAATAACAAGGGCGTCCTAAGCTCGGGAACACACATTTCATCAACACTGTTCATCTTTTCCTGTGCATGCCTCTGCGCATCTAATGCACTCTCAAAATGCATGAAAAATTCAAGAAGATTAGAATGGGGACTAGTGTATCTTCCAAAAAAACTATTCTCACTCTCAGACATAGATGTCGTCTTGAATAAGCCACTCATCATGAAGTCCCTAAAAAAAAAGGAATTCAAAACTAGCGAATTGCAAACAAAGACGTAAACCATGTATTTTCTCTCAAGTCATACTCATCAATAAGATCATTCCATTGAGCTTCAAACTCTGATGGCCCAATAGATTCCGACCAAACAATATTATTCAACTTTTTCCTAAAGCCATCATCTTTTTTCAAATGACTTGGGACCTTATCAGGTACTTTAAGCATAATGTGCCACATGCAAAGTCGATGTCTAGTATTTGGAAGTGCACGTTCAACAACAATCTTAATTGCAGGGTCCTAATCTGTGACTATCATGCTAGGACTACGGCTCATTGCTTCTTTATATTTTTCAAACACCCAAATATATGACTCAACATCCTCCCCTGAAAGCAAGGCAGCAACATATGTAACACATTTACCGTGGTTATCTTTGCCAGTGAATGGAGCAAATATCATGTTATACCTGCGCAAATAAAATGTTTGTCAAAAGTTAGCAACATAATTAAAGTGAAAATAAAAAAAATTGTTGTGATTATGTATGATTATAAGCATTATGTTATTTATAAGATATAAATAATTGCCTGTTTGTAGAGTATGTTGCGTCAAAAGATACAACATCACCGAAGAAGCATAGTTTTTCCTCGAAATAGGATCAGTCCAAAACAAACGCGTCAACTGATCATTCCCGTCCACAGCATAATCAATAAATAAAGCCGAGCACAATTCCTTTTTACGGTACAATTTCTCTATCACAATTTGAGCATCAACACCAACAACGAATGCCTTTAAATCCCTCGAAAAGTTTTTGAAGTCAACACTGGTGCAACCCACATTTGAGTATCGCCTGACAGTCTCTTTAAACAATCTATAGCACTTTGTTGGCCCTATATTCACTCGGGAACAATTAAGCAAAAACTTTTGATGTCCTATGTCCATATTCCTACTGACATTAAGAAACTGCTTGTACATTTTAGAACATAAAGAATGAGTATGTTGCTCTATAAACTTATCAACAATATATTACGTCTTTTTTCCTTTGCACTGCCCAAGTCATCCGCATCTTTAGTAAATGAATAATTCTTCACACCCTCTCTACTACAGACAACATATCTCCTAATACAAACACCATCGTTTGACTTTGACAATGTTGAACGTCGAATGTCAAATCCACATTCAACTGCATATTTCTTATAAAATTGAAGACCATTATTTAACGTCTTAAATTCTTGTCCAACAAAGGGCTTCAAATCATGATCGCATAAAGGGGTGTAATATTGAGTTGACCCAGGTGATATATCAACTCAAACATCTCGATTAATTTCGGTTATTCCTAAAATATAGCCAAAAAAAAAAAAATGGNGAAACTAAAGAAGATGTTTTTTCAATAGTTCTAATCAATTGAATTGTCAATATTTTATATGAGACACAATTATGAAATTTTTTATACCTAAATCACATACAAAAAAAAAAGAAAGAAAAGAGAGAGAAAGAACTTACTTGGTGATTCCATGTCGCCTAGGGCTATGCGTTATGTGGGCCCCTATCTGTTCGATATAGCTTGCTACGGGGTCGGCTTGTCGCTTATCCCTTGAAATGAGGAGATCCAACGCCAAGTGCAAGAATTGAGGTCGAAGCAGCGGGAGAGTCTCAGACCATGTTCAACGCTTGCTTGAAAGAAGATAACATTATTTATTTATTTTTTTAATTTATTTAATTAGTCCACTAAGCACTTAATAACTGACAAAAAATTGTATTGACTTAATCAGCCTTTGCGGCAGTTTCCTACTTATCCTAATGATAGGAGTTTCTTATCTCAACCATCCATTTGACAATAATAAATGACCAGGATCTTTTCTTATTTCTCACATTAAGATGGTCTTCTAATAAGAACCTTTTCCTATATATATATATATATATATATATATATATATATAGATTATTTAAGTTCCTATTATTTATTATTAATAATATATGTTATATATTTATTATAATATATATTATAGAGTCTTAGGTTATGTTTGGTAGATAAATAAGCTAGCTTATAGATTATTTAGTTAGCTTATAAGCTCCCTGTATTCATATAAGCCTCGTTTGGTAGGACGAGCTTTTTTAAAAAGCTCGAACTTATTTGATAAGCTTCTTTAGGTAACTTTTCAAATAAGCTAGTTGAATATTATTTCCAGCTAACTTATCAACTAATTTGACCAAACACTTTTATCATATAAGCTAGCTTTTTAGCTATAATTCATAAACTATAAGCTATAAGCTAAAAAATTACTAATAAGCTATAAGCTACCTCATCAGCTATCAGCAAGTTTATTAGCTAGTTTACCAAACATAGCCTTAATCATTTAGGAGAAGGATTATATAATATATATCTTATATATTTACTTAACATATATGCCACATGCATTAATGAACTTGATTCTATTCCATAATTAGTTTTCTCTCTCTTGTAGGACAAGGTATAGGTGATACGGACTATAAAAGGATGAACTATTTATACATAAAGAATTATGGACGTTCATGAGAAGATCTAAGGAGGATTTGAAAAGATTCACCACAAGATCTTTGAAGATTTGGAAGATCGGCGATTTTAGGAAAGTCGTGTTATTACATCAGTCTGGGAACACAAGATTTCCATTGGAAACTCAATTCTGAAGATCTCCAAATCACATACACGAATTCTACATCAAGAAACCTTATTATTAATGAAGATTTCGTCCAAATCAGAAAGGAATCAATTGAGAAGGAAATTGACTCCTAAAAGAAAAAGGAGGAACTTATGAAGACTCCTTACCTTAAGGAGATTGTATATAAGCCTACTCAAACAATCAATTGACAAGAGCTACTACAATAATCGACTTTATCATTCATCAGATTCAATTGAGTATTTGAGAGATTTTTATTCTTTTTATTTTGTTCGTCACAGCAGTTCAGCGCTCTTACATTGTTGACGAACTGAGTTTGTTTAGTTTCTTTTTCTTTTTACAAACCTATTTTTAGTGCTTAGGGATTAAGTATGGGGGTTGCTCGAGGGACTCGAGTGTGTAAAGTCCACGGGATGTGGTCAGAGAAGTAGTTGATAGGATCGGGTATAGTGTTGGCTAAGGCTAGGAGGGAGTCCGAGTCGAATAAGTCCAAGTTGTACTTTGTGGGATGTTGTAGCAAATTATTTTTATTTTACCGAGCACCGAACCGAATGATTTGTTTCCCGGGTCGATCTCTCGAGGAAGACGGTTCGGAATTTAGAAGTGGTATTGATAACACATAAAAGGAAAATAAATCCTAAACATTCTAATCACGATAGGGTTGAAGATTTATGAACTAAGAAATAACATAAAGCGATGATCTACCTAAAAATATAAACGACAAAAAGATAAACGAGCTAGGGTGTCGGGAATAATCGCTTCCGGTTCTACACACATTTAACGGCAATCAATAACTCGGTTAAAAGGCTCGACTAATTAAATCAGTTAGCGGTTTAACCTCAATACGTCTCCGAACATGCTGATAAACATAAATGAGCGAATTAACGAAACAATTAACACATAGACAATACGTCTCCGAACAAGTCTACTCTAAACGAGCCAAATTCCACCAATTTCTCCCCTCTTGGTTTTGAAATCGATTATCTCTACGACTCCTCTCCTTTCGGTTCTACAAGTCGCAATTCGTAGAATTAACAAAGTCTAACTCAACAAATAAATATTCAATCACAAATCAAAGTGTCACTCTTTGATTATATCAACAAATTAACCTAGGTGTCACTCTTAGGTTATAACAATTTATCAAGTATGATTTTATCAATTCATAATTAAAACAACTCGTCAAGATTGAGTTATCGTCATGCACGTAAACGAGAACGAACCGAAATGATTATCCCTTAGCCCTAGCTAAAGGATTAGCTACTCATATCAAATTCAACACAACAAAATACTTCTCCTAAATTAATCATTGTGCATGAATTAATTCAAAGAGAAAATAAACTTACATATCAATTTTTCAAGTGTTGAATTCAAATACAAGCTTCCTCCAAAAGACAAAATAAAGAAAATACAAGAAGAAGAAAAGAGAAAATAAGAGAGGAGAAAGAGAGGGAGAATGAAAGAAGGAAGGGGGAAGAAACCCTCTTGGTTCAAGCATGCATGGATGGTCTCATGTGGTGGAATGGAAGGGAATAAATAGTAGTGTTTTCCCTCAACACCATAGCTCATTTCAAGGTAAAAATCCTGGTCTTAGGCTCCCACTACCGAGCATGAGAGCATGAGCAAAACAAGCCATGTTTTGTGGAAAAAAGAAGAAAGTTTTGTCTGCCAACAGATGCTAGCGGCGCTAGGGGGGTGCTAGTGGCGCTAGGGTATGGATGGCCGAGGCTCTGAAGTCCGCTAAGGGTAGCTAGCGGCGCTAGGGGGGCTGAGCTGCATGACTTTGCGTTTCGGGCTCGTTTGGGCTCGTCCGAACTCGGAATTGAGTTCCGTTTTTTCCTATGCGTCGCTAACGAACCCCTCTATTCAATGATGCTTGAATGAACAAATTATTCTTGAAAAAATATTCTCCCAAAGCTCTTAACCTACACATTGAACGTGTTTCGCGCGACTTCGCGTTTTGGACCCGTCCGGACTCGTCCGAACTCGAAATTGGATTCTGCTTTTTCCTATGTGTAGCTAAGGAACCCATCTATCCAACCATGATTTCCCGACCCATTTTTGAGCTAAATCGATTCCTCACGGGGCTTCCGACCTGCACACTAAAAAAAGAAGAAAAACGTAGAAAACGACAAAATACACGAAAAACACATAAAAAGCCAAAATAGAACAAAACACACAATAAACTATAAAATGAACTAAAAACTAACAAAAAGACCTAAAACGGGGAAAAATGAACGACAAAATAGTACAGAAAAACGTAACAAAAATGGTCACAACATGGGATGCAAACCGATTTATCAATGAAAGAGCTTTGAGGGGTAGTAGGACGCTCCCCGAAGACATATAATTTTTTATATCGCTTCGGATTTTAAATTTATTTTTCTGTGTTGCAACACAATTTCGTAATAAGAATTTCTGTGTTCTAACACAGTCTGCGTACTCCATACTTCATCCACCCTCGTTTCAGTATCTACTTGATTATTGAAGACTCCGTTTCGATAAAGTTTAAAGCTTTAATTCAAATTCCAATCTTTAGGTAATTGCTCTTAATTTCTTTGGTAAAATCAATTTAATATCAATCCTTCAATCTTGTTAGAATGTTTAGAATATTATTATTATTATTATTATTATTATTATTATTATTATTATTATTATTATTATTATTATTTTTATTATTATTATTATTATATTCTTTTTGTATGTGCTTCGAGACTAGTTAATAAACGAAGCATCGAATAGTCATCCTTCAAAAGACGACCCGAGGTTTTAAATTACTCGATTAACAATCAAAACCAAAATTATACTTAACCATTATAAAGTTGATTTAGGGTTGAGGATTTATCCCTAAAAGAAACTGTATTTGCTTTTTGGTTATTTTTATTTTCTTAGTTACTTTATAAAAGACAAAAATAAAGATTATTAATACGTATCATCTTGGTTTTTCATTATTTAAGAATAACATCTCTGAAGTTTGAACCATGACGTTTGGCAAACGATTGATATCCCCTTTGCTAAATGCAATTAATATTCTCAAACTAGCTGTATATCAAATCAAAGAGAATGTTGCAATTAGTTTGTCAATGCAATAGTCCCACCGACGTATCGAACTTGCCCTAATTAGGTAATTTAATTTTCATTTACTAGCTGTATATCAAATCAAATAGAATGTTGCAATTAGTTTGTCAATGCAATCAATTGAATAGTCCCACCGACGTATCAAACTTGCCCTAATTAGGTAATTTAATTTTCATTTACTATTGACATTTCTTGATTTTATAACTAAATCCTTCACTCGCGAAACTTAGCCTGAGGATTTCTTATACCCATGAAATGACGATCATATTGACATTTCACGGTTGGTGGACAATAAATCGCCACCACCATCGCCTTCTCCACCCCCACCTTACATCAATAAATCGCCACCTCCGCCTTCGCCATCTCCGCCACCTCCATATATGTACAAATCTCCTCCTCCACCGTCACCTTCACCACCACCTCCGTACGTCTATAAGTCTCCACCACCTCCACTGAAATCTCCTCCTCCTCCACCGTCACCTTCACCACCACCTCCGTACGTTTATAAGTCTCCACCACCTCTACTGAAATCTTCACCTCCTCCACCGTCACCTTCACCACCACCACCGTACGTAGATAAGTTTCCACCACCTGAACTGAAATCTCCTCCTCCTCCACCATCACCTCTGTACGTCTATAAGTCTCCACCACCTCCACTGAAATCTCCTGCTCCTCCACCGTCACCTTCACCACCACCTCCATACGTATATAAGTCTCCACCACCTCCACTGAAATCTCCTCCTCCACCACCTTATATTGATAAGTNCCGCCTCCAGCAAAATCTCCTCCTCCTCCTTTTATATATAAATCACCACCACCACCTTCACCATCCCCACCACCACCATATATCTTCAAGTCTCCACCACCTCCACTAAAATCTCCTTCCCCTCCATCTGTTTATAAATCACCACCCCCACCGTCACCATCCCCACCACCTCCGTATATTTACATGTCTCCACCACCTCCATCAAAATCTCCTTCTCCACCTCCTTATATTTATAAGTCACCACCTCCTCCTTCACCATCACCGCCACCTCCGCATGTTTATAAGTCTCCTCCACCACCATCACCATCTCCACCTCCCCCCTATATTTAAAAGACCCCACCACCTCCGGCACATGCACATTACTAAAGTTCACTCCATCTCCATTGCTTCGTTTCATGGTTAATTAGTAACCCACAATTGCGTCTTTCATTAAGTTTATATATTGTGCGATATGAATATTCAAATGTTTATTTGATTATTCTGTTTTTTATTTTGCACACTTTTGTGTTTCAATAAATAGGGATCCAAATATTATCCCTATCTATGTTTGAGACTTTTATTGTACTGTTCTCGTTTAAGTTTTCTTTGCACGTGTACTAATATTGTACTGTTCTCATGATTTAAGTGTCCAAGATGAGAATTCCGGTTAAGGCAATATGTTTGTTCCAACTATACGCTTGAAAACTACTACGCCATTTTTGTTTTCTTTCCATGTTGAAAAAGTACGATGAATATGTTTTTCTAGTAATAAAGAAAAAATCCCAACATTATGTAACTTTAATTTTTTTTTTAAAAAAACACTTGAGTAATGCGGAATCCATTATGAATAGATTATATTTTATCAATATCAAAATTTCACATGGTATGAGGATAATTATTTGGCAAAATTAAATAGTAACTTATTAAATAACGCAATTTGTAGCCAATTTATCAGGTCGGATTTTAGTGTCGAAACACGTTTAGCGCTTGACTGTCCCATTTATTATTGGATTTTGGCAAAATATGATAATTCTTTTGGGCAAAAAAGGATAATCATTTAAAAAACGAAAAATCTATGAATAAGTGGGGCCGAAATTGCCAATATTATATAATTCAATATAAATTCAAAAATTTTGTTGATTAAGCTAATTTTAGCCAGCATGTCTAACTATTTCTCATTTTTAATTTTTTGGAGCTAATTTGTTACCTTAATAAATTATCTTATTAGCTAAAATTAAATCGAAGTTTAAAAGTAAAATTATTCCTGTTTCATTCTTTTGTTTCTTCACCAGAATATAACTCTGCTGATGACAACCAAATGAGGAGTCCTAGGGAATTTGTTTACTTTGTGGTACATTTATATATACTAGTAAAGTGCACGTGCATCGCATGTGGTGTAATATTTTTTGCCGATTAAAATTAGTAAAATAAATTATTTAATTTTTTAAACATATCAATGCAGGAACTAAGTAAAATGTAGACCAAATGAGCTTCTAATGTTTTTTTTTTTTTTTTTTTTTTTTTATAATAATGTCCTAATATAAAAAGAATGAAATAACATATTACAACCCCAACAAAAATATAGTTCTTAATGGGGAAAAAAACACAAATAAACTAAATAAGGACCCAATGTATATTATAGATGTATTAATATTTCATTTAAATATGTTATATGATTAAAGAGTAATTTTCTTTCATTTTGGTTTGAACGTATTCATAAGAAACATTCATACTCGTTGGAGCTCAATACATTAATAGTATTTCAAATTCTTCTTAATTCATTTGGCAAAGCGTCTACTTTATTCTAACACTTATAAATATTCTGGCCAAACATATAGTCAAACTTCATGATTGTATGATTTTTATAAGGTATTTCTACTAATAGTTTATGAATATCTTTGTAAAATAACCAACCGCCTCATTAAATTGTTGATATTTTTTTATCATTGTATAAACTACTTTATTACTATGTCTATGTAGACAAATTGGTACCTACATCATGGAGGCATTGCCCCACGGGGTGTGAATGAATTTCATCTCCAAATAAAATTTAACTTTCTAAAATCTTATTTACATGTACTTCTCTCGAGACGCTAAATTACTTTTAGAAAATCATCAATTACATGAAAGTACGTACTGTAAAGTAATTGCATATATATTCGAGCAAAATACACAATGAGATGGTAAATATTCCTATAAAAAAGGGACAATTTTATTCAAACATTCAACAATGTTTTGATCAGGCTTCAACATTTTTTTTCAATGTTATTTATTTGGAAGACAAACGAACTATATAATATATAGTTTGCAAACCATTGATCATCTTGGTTGTTGCAATGATTTTAGCGTTGTTTATCATTATATCTTTCACATTTGCTCGAATTTGCAGTACTTATGTGCCTAATAACTTATTTAGTGCTTTTATTGTCTAATTTTTTTTGCATCATACATAATGCTTCGAAAATTTAAGATAAAGTTCCTTTCTTGGACAAAAAATAAAATAAAATAAAAATGAGACAATATTAAGAAGCATATCATTTGTTAAAGTATTTGCGAACAGAAGAATTAAAATTTTATTATATTATCATTATGATACTCTTAGTCGCTCTGTGAACTTTATTATTACGAAGTTATTATTAAAATTTACGTTATGTATGACATATCATTTATTAAGTATTTGAGAAGAGAAGAATTAGAATTTTATTATATTATGATACTATTAGTCGTTCTGTGAACTTTATTATTACAAAGTTATTATTATAATTTAGTTTATGTATTACAAAATTTTTATTTATTTAATTACTTAAAATTCTTGATAACATAGGATCATTATTTATGAGAACTAATATATTACTTATTAAAATGGGTAACAAATAAATAAATTTTAAGTATTTAAAAATTAAAATTTTTAATGGTAGACAGTAATCAAATTAAGATTAACATACCAATTTTTAATGCCAAAAATATATTTTTATTTATGTACTTAAAAATTCTAGTTAAAGAATGTTCATCTTTAATATGTTTAAATTTCCATTAGCCAACTCCAACTGATATAGGACATTAATTAAATTTATCACTTTTTTGAATTATGGATTGAATGTGAGCTATATGCTTTCTCTTTGCCTAGTTTTACAGTTTTATTACGTAGAACATCATTCTTACCCCTTGTTTAATTGCTATAATACTATTAAAACAATTAAAGACTTTTCAACTTAGATGCATCTTGTTTGTTTTGAAAAAACTACTAATTCTCATAAATTAAATAAAAGTTACGTTAAATATGTTATATTTTCTATCATTATCAACAATTTTCATAATAATTAGTTGCACGCAATATTATATATAATGTAATTTTTTTTCATTGATTTAGAGCCCTAATTTTACTATAATAAAAATGATGAAATTTCAACGAAAATATATTACAGTGGAATTTTAACAGCAATCTAACAAATATTTCAATGTTATTACTTCATTTTGACTTTTTCAATGAAAAGTTTATGACAAAAAATATTTTGTTGGAATCATGGGCTGATCCATGTTTATAGCCTGACCCAAACTCTCACCCAAAACATCTAGGATAAGGTATCTAACAACAATTGTGGGAATATTTTTTATAATTTTAATCAAGTCCACTATTTTGAAAATAAAACTAAAAGTAAGAAAATGCATAATTAATTACTTTACAACTCAACCAATTATAATTTAATTCAGCTCATAATTTTATTAAAGTTATAATATAAATGCGGTATCACAATTACAGAAAATATGTTAAAATCTAAAAATTACAATTTTACTCTCTAATTCTATTTCTTAATCTTGGTGATAATTCTATTCACTTTTTTGCAACATAATGCTTTCTCTGACTTCAAAATATATTTTTATATCTTTTTCAGCTAATGTATGTGGAATTCTAGCTATATGTTCATAATTTATAAATTAATCAATTATATAGTCGAGTTGAGTCAACTATACTACAATATAAGTTTTTTGTTCTTAAAATTTTTAAAAAATATATTATTTTCAATGATTTCTTATGTTAAATTGAAAAAAATTATGGTTTATTTTCTTAAATATTTTTTAACTTATTGTGACTATATTGTTATGTTAAAACTTAAAAAATATATTACGAATGAGAAAGATGACAAATTATGAGAATTATAATTGGAAACATTAAAAGGATACTTAGATACAAAAATTCTAAAAAAAAAAATCCAAACATTTTTAATTCAACTATATTTTTAACCCAATTTTAACAAACTCCACGATCATCAATATTATCAATATAATTAAATAATATCAATCAATCATTCTTACGCATCACCTCAATTTAATTCACTATTCATCCACTCACAAAATTTTAACTAACCATCACTTTAAATAAAAATTCTTCTACTTTTATATCAAATCAACTTTAATTATTTTATTTTAAATATTATTTTAGTATACCCATGAACAACCATACTACCTTTTTCAAAATTAACCAAAACAAACTAAAAAATCTAAACAAAACTAATTTTTATATGCATTATCGAAATTTTTTAATGAAAGTTATACTAATGAAATATCCGTTTGTAGGAATACTTGCCTTCAAATTTTTCATTGGAATATATTTTTTTTATATTTCTTCTTAAACTTTAAAATTTTTACATAGTAGTTTTTGTTATTACTCATTATTTTATCTCTCGATTACCCATTAATTTCTTAGTTGAGTTACATTTTCTACATTTAGTTATTAAATAATAAAAATAATTATTATTTTATATATGTTATATGATATTTATATATTATATTCCAAAATTAATAGCAAATAAAAAGTTAAAATTAGAATAATCAATTTTTTTTTTTTAAAAAAAATAAAAGTTATAACCTACATGGATTAAAATACAAAGAATTATTGTTTATAACATAAAACTTATACACATAAGTAATAAGCACAAAAAATTAATATCTGCTTAACTGCTTGACAACTCAACTCATTTACATCGATAAGTGCAAGTTTTAAAAGTTTATATTTAATTTTATTAATTATAAAATTTTTAGTTATTACCTTTTTCATATTTATTAGTAAGTGTTATGACTTAATTATATTTTGATATTATATGTTTTTAATATATATATATATATATATATGTGTGTGTGTGTGTAAAACTTTTAGATTCGTTAATAATGCATAAAATCAAGCATAGAACTTTTTTGGTCATATGTTTTATTATAAATCAATTAATTGTACATCTTTATATTATATCATATATAATTATAATTTTATTAATATTATACTCAAATGTTATTATTTATAAATTCATCAATTATAATGTCGAGCCCACTATACTGCAACGTAAAATTTTTGTTCATAAAATTTAATATATTATATCAATGATTTCCTTATGATGAATTGAGAACAATTATGTTTTTTTTCTT